CCACGTAGAATTAAGGCAGTTCTGAAGGCGAAAGGGGGTCAAACACCATATTAGTATGGTGTTCCTAATAATCCTTTAGGTGAGTGTATATTCCCATCCTTGTTTGAGCTTCAGTGCCAGGAAGGCATTTTGAATCCATGTAATCAATTTGTTATCCACAAGATTTTTTAGAAAGCCAGGAATGCTGATTTTTTCCATCTTCTTTTTCACATGGGGTGAACTTCAGTTTTTCTGAATCATTGTTGTGATTGGATTGTGAGGAGTTTCTTCAGAGGAATATAGTGTGCAAGATAAATGTCTAATAAGAAAGTTAAAATCCTGAATGTCTTCAGAAGACGTCTGTCTAGGATTAATTAAGTTGAGGAATCCATTCTCATTCAGTTTGTAAACAACAAAATTGTGTGGAAGGTAGCCCTTTACAATATCGACAAAGAAATTTATCATAGAATCCTTATTTATTGTTCCAAGTTTGTCAAGGTACTGATTGTCCTTACTCTCACTGAGTTCTTATACAAATCCTGATTGTCCTCAGCAATATGTAATATATCCAGTGGACTATATATTCCACTACCTGTGGTATCAATTGCATCATACACTGCTTTGTGAAAAGGTACAATTGGTCCACGTACAGCTGTTTCACTTTCTGTTGGCACCAGACCATACTGACTAACATAACCCCAAATGAGAGACAGGACTGTATTTAAGTGCTGTATGCCAACTATGTTGTCTGAAAAATATGTACCGGTAAGTTGTACTCCATTGTCCAGGAGTAGAGAATCTACTTCGTCAATGATCACACACTGGAACTCACGGTTCCATCTTGTGTCTCTCATTTCAAATATCTGTCTTAGATAGTCTCCTGCAAAGGCATCTACTGTCCCATAAATAATATCATTCTGGTAACATTCTTTCTGATCTTCATTTCCTATGTTGGTACCAACTGTTATTCCAAGTTCCTTGTAGAAATGAGACCACTCTTCGGAATCTCTTTGGCATAAAACAGAGGAACTGGATACTATGTCAACCTTTTCCCCCCTTAGAACTCGCAATGCAGCATACATTGCTATAACACAAGACTTTCCCTCCCCAGTGCCTATTTCCAAGATCATTCCAGATTCAGACAAGGCAAAAACACAGCAGCTGATCAGCTGGTTAAGTCGAGGCCACCATCCCATTTTGCTGTGCACAGCGTAGCACAGCGCTGAAAGGACCTTCTGCAGGTCTTCTGCTTCTCTGCTGATGCTAAGATCACGGATCCTCTTCATATCAAATTTCATCTTCACCCCAGACAAAATGAATTCCTGGACATGTTTACGACACTGTATGCCGTGTTTATTGTTGCCTCCTCAATTTCTTTCAGTTCTCTTATCTCCTTGAAAATGGCATCAATGCTTTTTGGACCTTCATTCTTGAACTGCATAATACAAAAATATAAATATGAAACATATAATTATATTAAATACTGCAGTTATTTTATGTACATATTACAAAGAGTTTAATATTACAGTCTGATCTTCTTCCATAGTGTTACTGCATTTCAGTAACATTCTGTCTGCTGAAAGAAGCTTTTTTGACAGAAAAGATCCGAGTCTGTAAAGTGAGGGCAAGGGGCTGATTCGTCTTTATTTACCACCTCTTCTGTGTGCAATAAGCAGGTAAAACGTAGCCAGTCAGCACCGTCATTTTCTAAAAAAAAAAATATTTCCAAATGATCATTTTCAAATCCTATGTATACATCCTTGTTAAATGAGGGTTTGGTTATATAATCATTTTTGGAACAACCTACCAGTTCTAAGAATTTTAAAAATAAATTACATCTTTGCTGGATCAGCATTATATTTTTTCCAACATCACAGACACAGTTCCTGAGCAGTTGCTTGGTTATCTTATGCACTCCTGTTTTCAAATGAACCATATCCCCTTTTCAAAGTTAGATTAGTCATCTGATGGAATTGACAAAATATTACATTTCCTCTTATAAGACATGTTGTCACGCCCCGCTCCGTCCGCTCCTAGTGTGTGCCACGCCCCCTCATTATCCACGTGTGCTTCCCCGATTGTGCCCAGCTGTTTCCTGTTTCGTTTGCCTAGTCTTGTGTATATGAGTCCGCGTCTCCCCATGTATGCCAGATCCGTCATTGTATTGTCCGTACATGTCCGTCTGTCGTGGAATAAACCCCATTTACCTGACTTCCTGGCTGCTTTCGCCTGCTTCCCTGCTCGCCTTACGCCCAAACGTGACACATGTATTTTCCACAGGAGTCATTTTGTTTATCCTCAGTTGCTTGTGATCTTTATAAAGGATAAATTCTGACAATATCTTATGGTATGAATTTTCATTAGTGTAGAAGCATTTTTCTCTGGGGATGTTTGAAAGTGGCTGTAAAAAAATAATTAACACCTCTCTTTTGTCAGTTTTATCTCACTGTATTTACTTTTTCTTTTGCACTTTGGAGGGTTTTTGTAACCTTTCTTTTCATCTAAGTTGTTCTTTGTCTCTGTCGTTGTTCCTCCTCTTTTCAGTCTCTCTTCTTCCTGTTGTCTTTCTCTCTTCTGTCACTCTTCTTCCTGTCATTTTTTCTAAGAGATAATAATCCTCCAATAAAGTCTGTGTCTGAATATGATATTGAGCAAATGCCGATAAAAACTGACCTATGTACACCTACTAAGACAAATGCTGCACAGGCTGTTGATTTTTGAAACAATGGCAAACAAAACTGCTTCAGACTGTAAACCATGCGAGTGTACCATGGAATCTGGCATCTTTGGTGGAAATTTACATTACACAGTATTATATCAAAGTCTGAACAACTCAAACATTTATTGACGGACTCAAAACTTGACTATTTGTGTCTCACGGAAACTTGGTAACTCCTTCATCTGTATTTAATGTCTCAGGTTATAAGGTGTATAGACGAGAAAAGATTGTCAGTAAACGCTCAGAAAACCGAGGTTCTATTGTTTGGTGGCAAGTCCGCGGATAGGACTGCTACAATCTCCGCCCTCCAAACCAAAGGGCTGAACTTCTACCTCAGCGGCTCAGCCCATAACTTAGGGGTCATCTTAGATACAAACCTCTCATTCAAATTGCATGTGGATGCAGTATCGAAGGTATGGTTCCTACAGCTACGCCAGATCGCCAAACTGCGACAATTTCTTACTATTCAAGACACAGAGAAATTGAAATGCCTTTGTATACAGCAGGTTAGACCACTGTAATGCTCTGCTTTCTGGGAGCTCACACTGCACACTAAATACCTTGCAGTGTATTCAAAATGCAGCAGCTCAAATTGTCACTGGGAGCAAGAAGTTTGAACACATAACCCCTGCTCTTAGTTCCCTGTACTGGCTTCCTGTTAGGCTCAGGACTGACTTCAAAGTTCTCCTGCTTACCTACTAGCACTACCTACCTTACTTCCAGTTTACTTCAAGTCGCATCATCCGCTCATATCACAGAACGCAGGTTTCCCTTGTCATTTCACATATAAATAAAGTGACGGTAAAGCATTCTGCTACAGGGCCCCTATATTGTGGATGGTTTACCAACCTGTGTTCGGGTTGCCAAATCAGTCTCTGTCTTTAGACCTATTACTTCAGTTTAGGTTACCGCAACCTAACACACCGTAACCATGGCTGCTGGTGCTGCTGTGCATGCCATTTTTTATGTACTATGCTTGTACATTTATGTGTCAATACATGTCTTGATAATCCATGCTCTCTGCCTTCCCACATGACCGGGTGGTGCATGGGGGGGCACCATCTGAACTGGAATCCTGGTTCAGTCCCATGGAGGGGTGACATCACGGATGGGACTTACAAACTGTATCATCGTGGGTGCAGCCTTCAATCTGCCACCCTACACAAGCTGGCGTGGAGAACAGACTCATTGATGGACTTTGACTTGACCTTAATCACAGATTATACCTCCCTTTTAGCAAGCAAATCCACTCTTTTCTGTTTTCAGTAATGTCAGCATGCACAGGGGTTTGGACAACCAGGTGACCTTGGACTCCCAGAGATTTTTTCCTCCCTACGTGGGAGTTTCTGGTTCCTCTCTGGCTTTCTTTCTTTTCTTTGTCTTCCCTTTTCCCAGTTTTTGTATTATTCTGTCTTAATGCCATAATGTATCACAAAACACCAATGTAAAGCAACTTAGGGTGACTCTGTTGTGAAAGGTGTTTCATAAAAATAAATAGAATGGAATTGAATTACAGTATGGAGTTCAACAACTTTATGCATTTTATATAGCTATCTATATCTCATATGCTTCTCTATACTTATATCTCATATGCCTCTCTGTACCTATATCTCATATGCCTCTCTGTACCTATACCTCATATGTCTCTCTGTACCTATACCTCATATGCCTCTCTGTACCTATATCTCATATGCCTATTTCTACCTACTGTATATCTCATATGCCTCTCTGTACCTATATCTCATATACCTATTTCTACCTATATCTCATATGCCTCTCTGTACCTATACCTCATATGCCTCTCTGTACCTATACCTCATATGCCTCTCTGTACTTATACCTCATATGCCTCTCTGTACCTATATCTCATATGCCTCTCTGTACCTATACCTCATATGTCTCTCTGTACTTATACCTCATATGCCTCTCTGTACCTATACCTCATATGTCTCTCTGTATTTATACCTCATATGTCTCTCTGTACCTATACCTCATATGTCTCTCTGTACCTATATCTCATATGCCTCTTTGTACCTATATCTCATATGCCTCTCTGTACCTATACCTCATATGCCTCTCTGCTCCTCTGTCTCTCAGAAATGGTGGATGAAAAAGTCACAGTACTAAGAAACCAATGGGGAAACTTCTAATAACCATTTATTATTACAGAGATCACAATAGTTTACAATATCAACAGACTTTATTGGCATGCTAGCTGGTGCTGATTGTTAAAAAGTCATTTTTCATACAAAGTCCCAATTTGTTTTGTCCCACTGCAGATTACGTGGATTATCACCTACAGTGTATTTTCCAGGCTGAATTCTAATATTGATCCAACGACGCAAATGTAGCAGCTTTGGCTGCCATCACAACTCCAAAACAAGGCAATAAACACGAACACAGAGACTCAAAGGGCTGCTCGTCGTCTTCCGGCCTGAGCTACTCACAGCACGGTTATGTTACAGTAGTTACTTTGCCAGTGACTTTGGTGTTCTCCCCAGTAGTGCCTCAATGCCTTACAGGTTCTGAGTTCCTTGACTTTCTGCGTGAGTGTGTGTGTGTGTGTGGGGGGGGTATTGAACGAAAAGAAAATATATTGCTGACTCTGACCAAAATGAATGTGCTGAATTTGCTAAATAACACTCATGTCCGAGGTTTCCACTGAATGCGTGTCAGATTGCAAGAGCACTTCTGTCCATAGGTCCGTAGGCTGGTCTTACAGGGCCTAGAAATGTAACTGCGGTACTCTGGAAGTTTACTCATTCTGTGCAGAGCTTGGCAAATGCTTAGCATGTTCCATGGCTAGCTATTACAGTATGGCAATAACAGCCATCTCTGGTGAATCCACTCTCCTGCCAAATCCATCCAGTAGTTAAAGGATCTTGATAATCACACTGACTGTCACTCTCTGTTACTCAACAATCATGAACAGCAGATGTGAAAAGAGAGGACATTCCTCGCTACAATCACCATGAAGCCATAAGATTGCCCGTACAGTCAGTCACCTGACAGGCATGTGGCCTTCTACAGGTACAGCTGGACTGTGCAATGTGTGGTGTAAAATACTGCATCTGTGTGTAATACAGACACAAATTTAGGTGCAAAAAAATCTTATTTGCCCACTTACAATTCTGATCAATCAGTAATGGGAGGTGAAACATGCAATTCAGGCTAATCTAAGCCATATATATAAAGAAAACCCACACAAAACACTCTGAAGGCAGTGGGGAGAGAACACTGAAGTACTGGAGCAATGAAAGAAAGACAGTTCAAATCAGAGAGGCAATAAACACACTGAAAGAAAGCAACCTGCACCAGTTCAATTTAAGCAATATTAAGGTTTAAACTGGATAATGAAACATGGTCCTTATAGCAGCAGAAGCAGATGCAGAAAATGTCAATAAGAAAAAAATATCATTTTCCATCCAGGATTACAAGTCATCACTAAAAACTTTAAATGGAGCTTTATTTTTTAAATCTTCAATTATCAATAAATCATCAGAATTATTTTTATTTTGGACAGCAAAATATTATGAACAGAAAAGGACTGGTACTTTTTGGATTCGCTTTTTAAATGTTATTATAAATATGCTTAATGCTTCGGAGATGTAGTGTGGACTGTACCATTCTCTATGCCTGTCAGCGATGGGGGGGTCGTGCCCTTACAGCCAATGCAGAAGGAGCACTGAGCGTGCATCGGCAAACTCAGCCCAGAAAGGAAAGCCTGTCCTCATTGCACAATCGCATGTTAAGGAATGATGCACAGGAAGTTAACAAAGATGAGAGGCACACGGGGGAGAACAGGGAGGGGCTAAAAGGAAAGTTAGCTGAAGATGGAGTGTACTAGCATTCGGCGCGCGTCCCCTCGGGGGCCTCCAGGTGGCGTCTGACGTCGCTTCATCCTGAAAGGGAAGGGTCAAGGGTGAAAGCACCGCTGAGGGTCCTGGGGGGCGTGGAGAAAGGGAGTGAGACAGGTGGTTTGGCACATGTTCCTGCATGCATACCCTGTTCCATCCCAAGATGCATAAATCTGTCGAGTAACTAACCCTAACCGTGGGCCCAGGTCACAGTGGG